TGTTAAATTTCAACACATGATAATTATGAACCAACATGAGCAAACAAAAATTAACTATTAAAGCCAAACGGAACGCACGATATCGCGTGAAGCGGATTTAAAAGACAAACAATAATCAGAAATGGATTAGAATAAAGAAACAAGACAGAAACTAACTCTAAACTAAAAACCCAAAACAAAAAAAAATTAGAAAAATAATAACGGAGGCGGGGTTGCGATTTTCCGATATACTCGAGCATCCGGGAGACGACGATAGGCAGTGGTACGACTTTCGAGCAAAGCTTCTATTGTTATATTTCTTGAACCAAAAAATTCCGGTGAATCCGAATCCGGTTTCAATAATATCAACGCACACCTTGCTCGAGGCCGGTTAGAGAAAAGAAACATGGGCGGCAGTGGCTGGCGGCGCTAAGGGCAGTGTGGTGGCGCTGGGCGGCGTGGGTTTTTTTGATTTTTGAGTCGGAGATATGGAGAGGGAGAAGAGAGGCTTCGTGGTGATAAAATGTTGGAGTGTTGGGGTGGATGGGCGGCTGGCGTAGGGGTTTTCGGTGAGGCGCGATTGATCACGAATTGCGGAGAGGGTTGGGGATTAATGAGTGGTAATCGGTAGAAAGAGGAGCGAAGAGGGGAAGAGATGGGTAAAAATTTTAGGGTGGATTGGAGCGGTTAGCCGCCGGCGGCGGCGATTTCACGGCCGGCGGCGACGGGCGGCGGTGGGGCGGCGTGGCAGAGAGGGGGGAGAGAGTGATACAGAGAAAAAGAGAAAAGAATTATGGTGGATAATGGGGAAATTTTTCAGATTTTTGGAGGCTTTAAATACCTAGCCAAAGAGTCAAATGAGATCCATTGGATCAAGATGGAATGGAGGGGTCAAGATTTGATCTTGTTTCATTTAGTGAAACCGACGTAAGTTTTATTATGAAACTATCGTCGTTTTGATCCGGGTCTTGGCAAGCATCAATTGGTCTGGGGTTGGTGCAATTGGGCCAATGATTTGGCCCGATTTTTTAGCCCATTTCACTTTAAAAATAATAAAAACACTAGCCCAAAGTTTTGGTTCTTCTCTTAATTAAATCATAATAAAACTCTCGAAAACCTACATACACACAAATAAGCAACACACACATAAAACACACACACATATATATTATATATATATATATATATATATATATATATAGAATAAAAAGACATGGCAAAAAATTAAGCATTTACAACAGGCAACTTTATTGTTTATTTAACTTTGTGTAGCAGTTAAGATTGAATTGTTAGTCATGCATATTTTGTAATGGAAAAAAGATAAACAAGGCTTCTAGATTTTCTGTAATGGGTCAGAATCCGATCTCACGGTAATTAACTGAGTTAATCTGGTCTTGAGCTAATCCATAATTAATAAGTGGTATGGCCACTTATTCATAACAGGATTCGACTCTTGTCCGATGCTAAATCTACGAGGGCACGGCCCAGTCATTCCCCATGGGGACGGAACCTCAGCGTGGCCACGGCCATTTATTGCCAGCTCACGAAGCTCAACTCTATAATACTAAGAAGTGGAAGCCCTAGAAGGGGGGCCTGCTTCTTCACCACTATTGACAAGAGAGAGAAGAGAAAAATATAACCCATCTTATGGGAAGAGAAAACACCATTGTAAGGCTCTGAAACCTCTTCATGGAGAGGCAAACCAAACCAATATTTATCAATAAAAGTCTGTTAAGATTTCTTCTCCTAACCTTGAGTTACTTATTTTCATGTTCTTCGTTGGTCCAATGGATTATTACGATTATGCTATGATTTTTTACCGTAAACTTATTTGTTTGTTTTTGCACTCATAAAGCACATGAATAACTTTTGAGCAAACAATTTGGCGCCCGTCTGTGGGGTATTTCATAGCAAATCGCGTAGTTCTTACATGGACCAAAGGAAGAAAAGCGTCGGAAAAGGAAGAACAACCCCGCAATAACAAAGCCAAAGCGGCATATCAGGCCGATGGAAAACTCGAAGATCTCGAATCGAGATCCAGTTCTCTGTCTCTCTATCTATCGGGTGGTGCA